ATAACCTACATCATACAAAAGGTAAGGAACCTTCATTTTGACGGACAAGGGTATCCCCTTTAAGCCTCCGCAAGAGGTTAAATACAATTTTCAAGAAAGTATAAAGCAAAGATTATATTAATATAGAATATCTTACACACAGATTTGCAACAGTGTGAAGAACAAAGAATGATGAATGCATCTTTTGAGGCATTTGATCGCATTGATCCCGAAGTGCTTGTATGTAAGCAACAAAAAACAATTTAACATTTGAAAATGATGGGTATCTAAAGTTATAACAAACTTTGACACAGTCTCATATTTATAAACAAATCCTAGGATGACTAACGGCTGAGCTAAGTTTAATGGAGGCAACAGAAAAAATGGTGAGCACAATGACTCAGCTACGAACAAATATAAAATTAAGGTGAGCCGCAAATAGATTAAAATTTAGACCAAAAATCTCTATCAGCTATTGGATTGACATAACTAATTTATCATCTTACTTCAATTTTAGATATGCAGTGATTATTGATTCACAACTATATAAATCTTTTATCCATGATATAGCACATAGTTAACCCCAAACTCCATAAATGTGAGATAATACAGGAACCTTCTTACAAGGTTATCAATAAGACTACTTTAACTAGTTTAAACAAGACTTCGAAATAATTCTTTATAAGTAGTAGAAAGAACTTAATGATTATCATGGTTTTAGCAAGATAAAGGGAAATAAGAACCTTAGTCATTGATCCACCTTATTTGTGTTCAAATGTATATGTTCTGGTCAATAATATTAATGTACAATTCCTTAAAATTAAACTTTTTTTTTTTTTTGCCAAATTACAATTCATAGTTAGGTTCATTTACATGAATATTTTTTTATAGATAAAGTGATCCTTACGTCAGTAATTAATTCTATGGAAACTGTTTTTAAACCAGTTGCAATTTATATGTAAAACTATACATATGAATCGAAAAAGACGGTTTCTCAGGGATTAATATACTAATACATAAATCCAAGTGGATTAATTACGCTCATAAGATTCCAAGTACTATAATAAGCTATTTCTTAACTAGTTACCAAAATATTTCATTATATGTACAACTATACAAACGAATCACTAAAATGGTTTCACAGGGATTAAAATTCCAAAACATAAATCCAAGTGGATTAACTACACCAAGTACATTAGTAACCTATTTCTTAACCAGTCACAAATCCACCTCATTTGTGTTCTTATGTTTACGTTCTTGCCAACAAAATAAATGTACAAATCCTTAAAAAAAACTTCACATTTTTTTTTGCGGAATTATAATTCACAGTTAGGTTCATTTATATGAACAACTAGTTACAGTTAAAGTGATATCCTTCTGTCGGTAGCTAATTCTACTAAAATTGCTTTTAAAACATTTCTTAATTTATATGTACAAACATACAGATGAATAAAAAAAAAAGATTTTTGGGGATCATATTCCAATACATAAATCAAAGTGGATTAATTATGCTAATTAAATTCAAAGTGCTTCGATAACCTATTTCTTGACTAGTAATCATAAAACTTCATTATATGTGCAACCATACACATGAATCAAGAACATATTTTCTCCGGGATTAAAACTCCAATACATAAATCCAAGTGGATTAACTACACTCATTATATTCCAAGTACTTCAATAACCTATTTCTGGACTAGTTACCATAAAACTTCATATAAGGTTAATGAACCCATGATTCATAGAAACTATAATTCCTGCAATCATTTATGAACCTAGTATTAAATATTATAACACTATATTCTAAACTATGAAGGCATGTAATCTCATTTCAAATTTATGAAGATAATTAATAGCGTTAAGGCTCATCTTAATCATAAATGGAATAAAGATGGAGAAGTACAAAAGCCCATATTACATGTGATTTTATCATTATGGATTTAGAGTTTTACTTAATGCACATTAAAAAGGAAGAAGCTGAAGAGATTCATCTTTAAGTTGGCCTCCTCTGTGCTAAACCATAGTTAACTCCTCAGTTGAGCTAAAAAGTGCAATCCCCTTTCTACACCTCAGCCTTCAACTCCCTTCACTTTGGACCACTCCCTCCCTCCTCCCTCCCTCCCTGCCTCCCTCCCTCTCTGACACAAGCATGCATCTTCCAATAAGAGTTTTACTTAATGCATATTAAAAAGGAAGAAGCTGAAGAGATTCATCTTTAAGTTGGCCTCCTCTGTGCTAAACCATAGTTAACTCCTCAGTTGAGCTAAAAAGTGCAATCCCCTTTCTACACCTCAGCCTTCAACTCCCTCCACTCCCTCCCTCCCTCCCTAACACAAGCATGCATCTTCCAATATGCCCCCCACCGCCTAACACAAAACACCTAAGCATTCTCATCTCAGCAACACTTAACTT